GAGATGGGTCCCACTAAATATGGGAACATGTTTACCCAGGTGGGTTCAATCATCATTTCTACTCTGTGAAATAAAATTTCAATCTCACCTGCAAAAACTAAAAGTTAATTTTAGAGTTTTCTTTAAGGAAATTTTTCTCACAGAAAGAATCATAGTTCAATTTTAAATATCAGATAATTTGATTGAATGCCTTTATACTAAAGGTGCTAAAAAGGGTTTAAGATAGGATTACAATTAGAATATATTAATAATAAATTTCTATAAATAGAGTTATATAAAAGCAGTCAAATCAGAGAAAGCAGGCAAATCCTATTAGTTCAATAGAGAAAATAATGTGATGAAATAAAAATAAAGGAGTTAGATACAACTTTTTTGAGAAGTATGTTGCCCATTGGCTTTTAGAAGGCACATGTAACAAAACAACTTTGTCATTCGTAAAGAAATCCATAAGTAATTGGGCATCCATGAATAATGATAGTGAGCAGCAAAAGTTAAGGGCTTCATTTTCAAAGTCAATGTTGTTTATCAAGCCCTGGAAAATAAACCCCTGTTCACTTCTAACACACCAAATGAAATCACTGCCAAGTGTGAGATACTGTGATAACCTGGAACGGGAAGAGAAAGATCTGCTTGTAGACTGGAAAGAGACCTGGTGCCCTGACCTCTCTCTGATAGCTGCCAACATTGCCGGGTCTATGACTAATTCAGTAAACTAGTACACTCCTCCTTAACATCCCCACCAAAAAAGTCCTTTTTCCAATGTAAGTTCAGTGCTGGTGGGCCTGTAGGAGTTTCAGCAAAGATGAGAATTAAATGTGCTTTCAGGCAAAAACATTTTGGAAATACTGGCTAAAAAGTAGACTCATTGTAACCTGGGAATGGAAATAAGGTCTCATGAAAACACTTTAAAGGACCAAGCAGAGCTTTCTACTTGTAAATAAAGACTTCTGTTGTGTACAGACAGGGCTTGCTAAGCCTTTAGCTTGAGTGTTCTTGGAGGGGCAAAGGGAAAAAAGGCAGAAAGGGAAAAGAATACAAGGAGGATTTGGGCAATAAAAGAGACAGCCTTGTATTTGTACTTCCTCCTCCACCACCACTCATTCCATCACACTCCCCAGCTCACCCTAGGGTCTCCTGAAATCTGCCCCCAGGGTTCCTTCTTCTTCAGTTGTTCTTATTTTCTGTGAATGGCGTCTTGAGAATGCCTCACAATTTTCTTCACATCCTTCTCTGCATTTGGTGTATTTTGTGTGACTAGCTGCAAACTCAATGCTATTTACAAGAAGTTTAACTGTCAAACAAACAGAGGACAATTCTAGAGAGGTTGAGCCTAGAACATGCCAAGCAACAGGTATATGAAAAAGTGGGGAGAGAACAGCCTATTCTCCTTGTACTGATGAACTCAGTCTAGTGAAAAGCACCAGTAGCAAGGTGGATTAGGGCTGGAGGTAGAGCTAACATGTATGAGCCTTGTTTCCTATGAACTTGTTCATACATGAACAGGTTGAGGACTGGGTCTCTGCCAGAAAAGAAAAGAACCTCCCTTGGTTCCCAAGATAACTACTCCAACCCATAGTTGCCTAGGATTGGCCTGGCCAATGCCTTCCTAAGCACTCTGTAAGACCTCACGACTTTAGCACTAACACCCAAAGCCTTGATCTATTTTTCTGCACCTGTTCCTATCTGACCAGGCTAATCTTCTGCTTCAAAACTTTGCTACCATTTATTGGGTATCCACTGTATGCCTGCTAATGTGTTAGGTGTTTTACATATAACTGCTGTGATCCTTGCAACTTATATTGTTGCAACTGTAAAGAGTATGTTACTGTCCCCATTTTACAGATGAAAAAAAGGAGATGCAGAGAGGTTAAAAAAATTAGCCTAAGCATGCAAAAAATGATGGTATAGCTGAGAATCAAACCAAATCAGTCTGGCTCCCAAGTCAATGTTCAACGCACCAAACCTCAGACTACCCAAGAGGTCCTCAGTATGCTTTCCAAAGCCTTCCACAATTCCACTGCTCCTTCCTTCTAGCTCCATCTCTGACCCTCCTTGTGGAGGCAATAGTTAAATACTTGTTGTCCACCATCCCCCATCTCTTCAGTGTGTTTATTTATGCTTTTTCCTCTGCCTGAAATACCACTCTCCAATCAAGCTTAGCACCTCCTCCTCTTTCCAGATGTGGTTTCCTCAGGAAAGACTCTGATACCTCTCTCATGCATACAGAACCCTAAGCCATCTCCATCAGATTGCTTTCAGTGGTCCACTGCCACAACGATCAACTTTAGGTGTGTTCCCACCCACACAGTAGCCTTCCAAGGTAAGAAACATGTCTTTGTCACTTTCACATCTCCAAAACCTGGCACAATGCTTGGCATAAGCAGAAACTCTGAGAGTGCTTGTTGAATGGAATTCATCTGAAACTTCAGAAGTGCCTTCTCATTGTGTGTGTGTGTGTGTGTGTGTGTGTGTGTGTAGGCGGAGGAAGGAGGGACAGTGTGTTTAACCTTCTCAGCTAACTTTCACATTTTTTTGAGAGCAGGGTCAATGTCTTCTACTTTCATTAGTGTGCTTGTCTTTCAAAGCTCCTTGCCTACTGCAGACGGCAGAACGAATGGCCCTATTTTCACGTCATGTTAAAGACACCCATGAAGGTGAACTGAGCTATGCAGAAGAGAAAGGTAGCCAGGGAGCTGATAGCAACAGAGAAAAATGAGAATTTACTCAGCAGGTGGATCTCACCAACTTGCAGAAGGCTTTAAGATTCTAACAAAATTAAACAATATAAGGCTAGACAATTAAGAATAAATGTTGAATGGAGACAGCCTAAAAAGAAAAGTAGGTATTACTAGGCATTTGAAATGAACCACTTACTTCAATTTAGACACTAAATTTAGTAATGCTTCCTGACAAATAAACAAAGTCAGAAGCCATTCAGTACCACGACTTACTCTTCATTCACAGTGGCTGAAACATACAAGGGTTCATTCCTCTCATGGGGATCTAAAGTCAGTGGCCACCAGCCCTGATTCGGTAGCTGTATCATGTCAGGGCAGCATCTCTGCAAGTCTGTTGGTCTTTTCCTTGAACTGCTTGCGCTGCAAGACAGCTGCTGCTGTTCCAGACATCACATCCAGGTTTAAGGCATGAGGAAGGGAAGAAGGCTTAATAAACCATGTCTGTTCTTTATATCAGGAAAAGCAAAAGCCTTTATAGACCACTTCTTATGTTTCACTGATTTGAACTATGTCACATGGTCACTCACAGCTGGAAGAGGGTTTTAAAAACATGTCTCACTTGTAGCCGGGCACATTGCTGCCCAGATCAAAACTGGCATTTTGTTTTTTCGCAAGGAGGAAGAAAGTAATATATACTAGATTAAAAACTACACTAATTGCAGATTGTAGTTTTCATTGTCTGCCAACAGACTTCATGTAAACCCCAGAAGAAATTTATTACAAACTTTAATAACTAGTTGATGAACTAATTCACCTAACTGAACTTGGAAAATTTTTTTTGTTTTTCAGAAAAAACACAAACTTTATTTTTCTTTATATTTTATAAAAGTACCTGTGAAAATTTTGGAAAATATATTAAATTATAAAACATAAGACAATAGCGACCTATAATCATGTCCCCCAGAGATAGAATATTTTGTTTGAATGCTGTTTTTTTAATCTTAAAGAATGCAGTTATATATGTCACTATAGAATATTAAGAAATTACTCAGCACATAACATATAATTAATATCTCATAATTCTACCACCCATAGAACATAGATCAATTTTGGTCATTTTGAAAAGAGAGAATAACTTTTCACAAAATTTTAAATTATATACTTTCTTTAAAAAATACAGACATTTAACTAAAATTTTCTATAAAGCATAAATAGCGTGGCCAGAAATTTGTATACACAATTTATTTAATCTATCCTCTATCATTGGACATCTAAGTTGCATGCATTATAAAGAACCCTAGCATTAACATTATTATAGATAAATTTAGGGACAAATTATTATTCTTTCCTAGGGAACAAATGCTAGAAGTAAAACTCAAGTGGCAAATGTATTAAATGTTTTCAAGATTTTTGATACATGTTACCAAATTACATATGATATGGTTTGGCTGTGTCCCCACCCAAATCTCACCTAGAATTGTAATAATTCCCATGTGTGGGGGAGGCGCCAGGTGGAGATAATTGAATCACGGGGGTGGATTCCCCCATACTGTTCTCATGGTAGTGAATAAGTCTCCTGAGATCTGGTGGTTTTATAAACGGGAGTTCCTCTGCACAGTTCTCTCTCCTGCCATCATGTAAGATGTGACCTTGGTTCTCATTTGCCATCTGCCATGATTATGAGACCTCCCCAGCCATGTGGAACTGTGAGTCAATTAAACCTCTTTCCTTTATAAATTACCCAGTCTCGGGTATGTCTTTATTAGCAGCATAAGAACAGACTAATATATCGTGTCAGAAGAGTTCTACAATTTTCATCTTAACAATAATAATAAGATGGCCATTTTTCCTGAAACCTGGGTAATGTCTCTATATATGTATCTGTGTGTATTTATGTATACTTATATGTATCTTATCCAACTGCAAAGTTATATATGTCTATATATAGGTTATTATGTATATATAATATAGATACAGATATAGATACATATGAGATCTATATGTAACCTTGCAGTTAGATAAGTTAAAAACTGGTATTAAATAATTTTGCTTAAATTAGTTTTTCTGTGATTACTTGTATGATTAAACATGTTCTAAAGTGGCTTATTAAAAATGTGTGTCTTTTTCCTTATTGCCTGTTTATATACTCCTTCATTTGCCATTGAGATAGTTATATTTATTTGTGTGTGTAGCTTCATATATAAATAGTAATTCTTATTTATGAAATAAGAATACAAATAGTTTGGTTTTGGATTTCTAATTTTGTTTATAGTAGTCTTGGATTTCTGTCTTTAATTTTAAAATATAGATCTTTTTGGAAGCTTTTAAAGAAACATCCATGAGTAGTATATTTTCAAAGTCATTGCACATATGATAAAATCTTTCTATTGTCTTTACATATGCCATGGATGGCAACTGTCTGGGTATATGATTTTTTGTTAACATCCTTTAATGTCAAAATTCTAGTTATTTCCTTGTATAACTTCTGGAATTCTGTGTTGTATACAATTCTTTGTTAACACCCTTTTAAGCTTCAAATTCTAGTTATTTCTCTATCTGACCTTAAGAAATTAATGTTGTAAACAAGCTGTCTAAAGTTAGTCTGAGGTGGTTCCTTTGTAGCTAACTTTTCCCCCATGTATCCTGGTTTTAAAAAACAAACAAACAAACAAGCATTATCTTTTAAAAAGGGAAGACCCCTGCGAGGTAGTTTGTTAGCATGAAACCTTCTCTTTTTTATTAAAATTTGATATCTTGGGGACACAGTGAGCATGTTTAATCTGAGCACGTGAATCTTTTTAGTGCAAAAAATATTTCTTTAGCCATGTCTTGGTCATTGCTCCTTAAATAGGTATACTCCTTTAGGAATACTGGCAAACTTTAGGTGGGTTTTTAATATAGTGTCTTTTATATCTACTATATTTTACATCTTTGTTCTCAACTCTTTTTGTCCTTTTTAGCTACATTCCTGAAGATTTTCCAGTGTTTTCTCTAGGTCTTTGATCCGGTTTTCTGTAGTATTAATTCTGACCTTCATTATTTCCAATGATAATTCAGATAAGTGTATTGCACTTACAGTGTTCTTTCTATTCTACCCTATTTTACCCAATTCTTGCTTGATTTTCATCCTAATTTTTTTTTGTCTTTTCTGTTTTTTCATGTCTTTCTGCTCCTGTGTCTTGAAAGGCATGTCTATTTGCTGCCTATTTTAGAAACCAAATCTTAAATATCTTTTTTTAGCCATAACAGTAATTTTTTTCCTATGTGTCCTTAGGATAATTTCCTTATTCTGTATTTTTTTTTTTCAAAATTCTCACGTATAGGATAGACTGACACACTCAGTATTTCCAATTAACAGAATATGTGATTGGCCTCGGAGCTCTCAGTTGTTTCAATGTTGATCATGGCAGATTCTCCTAGCCCCCTGTCCAGTATCTAGGTAGCATTCAACTGGAGCAGCTATGCTAGATTGATGCGATATCTTTTATTCTCAATAGCTGGTTCTTTGGTCCATAAATTTGAATGCTGTTGGCCCTTCTAAAATTTTACCAAGATTTTTGAATGCCACGTTGGACTTCCACTTACAGAACTGCTAGAAATGTGACCATCACAGATGTTTACCAAAGAAATTAAAGTAGCAACCACTGCTAAGGTTTTTGAACTGACTGGCCACAGAAGGGATGACCTTCTACCTATAAAGAATTCTTCTCTTTAGGAAGAAGCAGAATGAAGCAAAGCAGAAATAGAAAAACTCTACATTCATACTTAGGCTTCTCCTATGGATTTAAATTTACACAACTAGCTGAATAACAGGTAATAATGTATACTCAGGAGCATATAAATTTAGGCATTCTCCTATATGATTCATCTATTCACTATTGACTGTTGTGTATATGGGATCTTGGTGGCGGAAATTGTGATTACTCATATTTTAATAAAGACAGTGGTACCTTATTAAAATAATTGAATTTGAAAATGTTTTCAATAGGTGGAAAGCCACAGCCCAGCTCATAACAGATGACTGAATGAGTACAGACCTTTTTTTGTAAGGATAAACCTGAAAGGAGTGGAAGCTGAGATGGAATTAGGGTACTCTCTTCTTCCTGTCTCCAAGAGGTAGCCTCTCAGTGACTGGAAGAGCACATGGAGCTGAGAAAGCTCTAGGTGGACAAGTCAAGCTCCAAACTGAAACCCGGTAGCACACCCCGGGGAGCAGCTGTATGCAGCAGCACTTTATGAGCTTCCAATTGTGTCCACAATCTATTCAATTCCAGTGCCCTATGCTTATTTACTGTATGTACAGCAATTGGTAGTTTTACTGTACACACAAAATTCCTAGTTTTCACAGACAGTTGCCTCAGTGCTTGGGATTTATATAATGAGAAAGAAATGTGCAGACACAATGATTATTACACATCCCTTTGTCCTGAGCTGAGCAATGAACTAGAAAGCAGAATGCCTACATTCTAATCCAGCCTTGGGCCCTGTCTGACCTTCGGAGTGTTCCTGAATCTCTCTCTGAGTTTCAGCTTCCATATCTGATTGAACGATATCATCTCTAAAGCCCCTTCAGCTGTAACACCCTATGATTCTCTTTTCAAATAGAGAGGACATCCTTCCTCTTACTGGACACTAAGAGGGTTTACTTTGCAAATGTGGCTCTCAGAATTTTATAGTTGTTCATTTGAACGTAAACAGAAAATTTGTTTATGATGTTCTTCTCCATACTGTAGTTTGGGATAAGAAGGGTGCATTTTTTCAATATGTTCAACTTTCAAAAAGACATGCTGGAGGAAGTCAGCCAATTTCTGCCCACACAACTTCCAAGTGACGTCAATGGAAGCAGAGCACACAGATCTCTAGGCAAGTTTTGGCTCGTTATGTGAAGGATTTTTTTCCTTTTTTAAAGAACAACTGCAAAAATGATTGCTCTCAACTCAAATTACACAATTTGTTCTTCTTTGTGCCCTGAGTCAGCAATAGACATAATGTGGAAAATAAAGCAAAATCTCCTTTTTACACATCAAATAAAAGAATCCATAGTTATCTGAAACAGAATGTTTGAGATTCTTGAGCAGTCTCTAAGCAATATTTCCTCTTGCTGTGGCCTCTGCTTAATTTCAATATAGAAAGTTGATCAATGATCATCAGATGGACAACTGGAAAAATATACCTACTTATTCTTATTTTTATCCTAGATTTGTTCTTCAATCCTGCAATTGATGTTGTATATCATTGGCTTATTGCTTATCCTTTGGAAGTATTTTAAAGGGCTTACCTGACAGGCAGATATAACTGGTGCTTTGTTAGCTCAGCTTTTCACAAATAAGTCAAATAGTTCTGTTACTATGACTAGAAGAAGAAAAATAGCTAATAGAAATATAACTGTTAGTATATAACAGGCACATAGTGGCTCAATTATCACAGCAACCCTGTAAAGTTGATATTGTTATTCTACTCATTCTACTGATTAGGAAACAGGATGAGAGAAGTTAAATAATTTTCACAAAGTCACACCACTGAGAAAATGGTATTTGGATTCCAAACCAGGCAGTCTGGTTTCAAAATCTGTATTCCTAACCACAATGCTATCCAGATAATAATTTATTTTTCCAATCAAAATGTATTTAATGATGCCTAATTATTCTAGGCTCTAAGTAGAGTCAGTTACTAGGTAATGTGGAATAATGACATGGAAACAAAGGACAAAGATAAGGGAGGGACTTCAGATTTTCTTTGCGCCTAAACTGGCCCAAACACTGTACTCAATATCTCACATCTATTTTGCCTTTGCAAAAACTATAAAAGCAAAGGCTGTATCAGTGGCATTTTATGGATGAAGAAACTGAGTTATACGGAGGTTATCATTTGCTAAAGATTGCACAGCTGGTAAGGCTTGGTGAAGGCTTGAATTCTAACCGATCTGTGTGTTTCTACCACCTACATTTCCTTTACTCCAATATGCTGCTTCCAGGAGTATGTGCAAGTGAAATACTCAGTTTAGTGTCTGAGCTACAACGAGGGGCACACAAAGTTTCTTCCAATATTGGGGAAGCTCTAAAAATTGTTTAGGGGTAATGTCAACCAAAGCAAATTTCTACATTTCAGAGCTTCTCCTATAGTTTTCTACTGTAGTCTGCAATGCCCAAACTGTGCTGAAAGGACTGCCTTCAAGTTCAGGGCCAAAGAGGTCCATGAACAAATTGGAACATAATTCCAATGGATAGCACACATATTAGAATTAAAATAGCATCAAAACATTAAATTCCTTTTTAAAGTAGTGATGAGTTCAGTATTTTATGTACAAAATATTGTATTTTTAGAGAAATTAATAGAAAACTTTTGCATGAACTTGCATAGTTTCTCATGAGTATGTACAGAAATCAAAACTGGCATCCTGTATAGAATGCCCTAGAAGGACCATTCTGTAAACATTAAAAGGTTAAATATATGAGAAATAGTAAGAAAGTACTTTTAATTTTTCCAAAGCAAAATGCAATATAGATTTAGAGTTGCTTTATTTGTTCCTTTTTTATTTGAATAGAATGCTTTTCCTAAAAAATATTACCAACTAAGAGGCAGTTTGGATTTAAATTGTTCTCCTTTCAGAGTTTGTTCCCATCACATCAAATGTCTTATTTATATTCAAATACCACAGGGAATGGGCAAGAAATTGTATGTTTAAACTGGACTTTTTCAAGGCTTTTAAGGCCAGAATATTTGCTTTGCCAAAGACTAAATTATTGCAAAGTGGGGCAAGCACCTGACCTTGTGGCAAGTCAGAATAAGTAAATATCTCCACCTGGAATGGGAAGCCAATGCTCCCAAGACCCCAGAACATCCTTTATTAGCCTGATGGCAGCTGTCTGCTTGTTGCTGACTGAGCCGTGAAAACTGGGGATCACCCAGAGATTCTCTCACCCTAACACATAGCCCACTTTGCTTATGTACTTGCTCTTGCAAATTCCATTACCTTCCACGCCACCACTGCCCCTTGAAAACCCAGAAATACTTACAAGCAACAGATTACCCCAGTCCATCCTTTCTCTGTTTCCAAATGGACATTCTGATTACATTTCTAACCAACTGTCAATCAAGGGGGTCTCAATAAATTTTCTTTCCAACCAGCTCATGGTCTTCTAATAGTATGATATTAACTATAACTATTATATCAAACATGATGTAAAATAACTTTGACATGTGTAGGGGCATAGTCTTACTTTTAATCATAGCATCGACAAAATTTTAATGCATTTCTTAACTTGTCTCTCCTTCATGGGACATACAGGGTCTCTGAAGAGGTCTGTGTATACCTGATAAGAGACTGGCCGTTCCTATCCATCCTGCCTGAGTAACACAAGATACGACTCACTGCTGTTCATTAACCTCATAGAGTTAATTTACCTTTTGTGGAAGTGAAATTGATTTGCTCTTTGTAAAGCTGAGTGACAGAACTCTTAGGATTCCTGGAAGCCACATTCAGGGCTGGTGCGTGGGCATGCAACCTGTGCAGCTGCACAGGGTCCCACACTCAGAAGGGCTCGTTCTTGGTTTAACATTTTGCTGTCACCATCTTGAAATCATTAATAACTTCTGAACAAGGGGCCTTGCATTTTTACTTTGCACTAGAATCTGCAAATTATGTGGCCAGTACTGACCACATTATAATATCAATGTAGCAAATGCAGTTGATTGGAAATAAAAGAACAAAAAAAAAACGAAGTGCCCCTAACATATTTGAGAGTTTTTTTCCAAATAAGATGTTGCATTTGGTAAATATACCTGAATTTTATTTTATTTTTTGGTAAAATAGTCCCGTTTTTTTAGACTGATGTAATTCTTAATGTGTTATGATACATACATGTGTATATGTGTGTGTATATATATGTATGTGTATATATATACACACACACACACATACGTGGTTGGGCAATGAATACATTTTTAATGGTTGATAAGAAAATTGAGCAGGAGGGAAGTGACAAAAGAGAAACACTAACCAGATGCCAAAGTCTTTTAACTTAGTTGTGGCTAAATGCTTAAAACATCCAATACTGTCTCCTTTCACTATAATCATCACATTGCCTCTTTCTCTTTCAGAGAATTCATATTCATATCTTATTTATTTTTGGATTATTGTAATTTATAAAAATATCGCAGATGTGCAATATGTCACCAAAGTTGAGCTTGAACGTGGCCACACATCTTGGAAGCCTAGTACCTGAATGCCTTCCTAACAATCAGCCGAGCACAGTCCGCCTTGCCATGTTTCTCTTTCTTTCTCTGTGTGGGTGCGAGGGCATGGGGAGTGGGCCGGCATGACGCTAAACGCACTACGCAAAAGCCAGCATGAATCCCAGGCCTTTTTCTGGACAGAAAGGACTGATTGTGTGGCGAGCAGCTGGAATGCGTGCCGGTCACTTTTGGAGTGGTGTTTGCAGGCATCGTTTTGCTGGATTGTTTGAGGAGAAGCAGAAGGACAGAAGGGAGCTCTCCTGCCCTGTGCTGCAGTGGCCCTGTAATTTTCCTCCTCTTCTTTGTTCAAATTATAAAGAAGAGTCCCATACGTTCAGAAGACTTCAGCCCGGTTTTTTCAATTGGACGCTGTTGTTTCAAAAGTACAACCTTCTCTTTCTGGCTGCTTAAAAGTGATGGTTCAGGAAGTGTGCCCACAGTGACATGAGTTAGGGAACCCCGCAGAGCAGGCCTATGGTGGAGATTCAGAGGATATTTTAGTCAGGGTCTGTGGGTAAGGCCCATGTTAGGACAGTAAAAAGCTTGAAAAAGAAGGATTTTAGAGAACTTCTTGTATAAATGGTCAGAGAGAAAGCCAGAATGATTTGTAATATCTTTTTTTTTTTTTTTTTTTTTTTGAGACGGAGTCTTGCTCTGTCACCCGGGCTGGAGTGCAGTGGCCGAATGTCAGCTCACTGCAAGCTCTGCCTCCCAGGTTTACGCCATTCTCTTGCCTCAGCCTCCCGAGTAGCTGGGACTACAGGCGCCCGCCACCTCGCCCGGCTAATTTTTTGTATTTTTAGTAGAGACGGGGTTTCACCGTGTTAGCCAGGATGGTCTCGATCTCCTGACCTTGTGATCCGCCCATCTCGGCCTCCCAAAGTGCTGGGATTACAGGCTTGAGCCACCGCGCCCGGCCAGATTTGTAATATCTTAAAGTTTATTTTAAAAGTTTCAGATTCTTTACAAAACAAGCAAAATCTTTACCCGTTGAACTACTTATAGATCTACTGGCTATGATTTTACAAAGTTAGGGAAACTCCAGGCTCTCCCTTTGTCCTGTTGTTTGCTATTTAGCCATTATCCCATCAGTAGAGGTCTCAGTCTTCTGAACAGTCATCATTTTACACCATTTCCAAATGGATATTCTGATAACAGAACTTAGAGCTCTTGCCCATCCAATCTCACCTACCAAGAATAGAGATTATAGATGATTATACCATATAAGAGGAAGACGTTAGAAATGTCTTCCCTATTTTATTTTTGTTGGATTTTATTCTTCAAATTAAAGTAAGAGAGTCTTGAAGTTCTGGATTATATATAAATTCTCTGCAAGCACTTGCTTGACTAAATGGTATGAACGTACTTATATAGTGTCCTGATGTAATGACTCATACAAATACTTTTCATAGCAGAAACATTTACATTTCTTCTTTTGACTCAAATGTTAATGAGGTGTTTTTTTTTTTTAATCCTCTAGGCTTTTCCCAGGATGTCATTGTGGAAAGGTGGTTAATGAGAAATCATTTGAGCCTAAATGCATTTTTACCTTTCATATTACATGGTTGGTAGAGTAACCAAACTTAACCAGCTAAATTGACCCCTAAATGCTCACCTACCTATTCTTCCCAGCTTATGAAAATCTCTGAAATGACATGGCAAGGTCAGAGGAAAGAAACCGATGAATGCTGGGTACTTGGTGTACTGCAAACTCCGTCTCCTACATCAGGAGATCTCTGCTGAAATCTGTGCTCAGCAATCATTTGGCCTCCTAGCTACAGCTTTCTGCTGCTGCTTTTTATAAAATTCCCGGAGACCCTCTCTGCACATGCAGGATTTAGGAGCCAGTCAACAATTTAAGAAGACTTGGTAGAGAGATTTTGAAGTTCCTTCCACCTGGCTCTTCTTTGAGAATATCTTCCATTTCTGACTCTTCTAGCAGCCCTAAACTCTGACCTCTGTTTCCTTAAACCAGTAAAATTGTGCCTTTCTACTTGGACTCTTCCCCCTGGCACCCCAAAGAAATACAGAGCTTAATTTTCACGGATCAGGCCTCTTCCAGTTTCTGCTTGCTTTGTTTGCTCAGTGGCGCTTTCAGTCAATTATTTGTTTATATTTTATCTAGTTTCTATAGTTGTTATCAGAGGAGAGTTAATCCAATACAAGCTACTCTGCTATGCTCAGGCCTGCAAATCTCAAATTACCATAATTAGTAAGAGAATATCAGAAATGTGCTGGTTAAAAATTGAATATGCAACGTTAACTGTTTCTATATACCTAGAAAAAGCAGTTAGACAACGTAATTTTAATTTACATTTACAACTTAGTACAAGGATATAAAATACAGAATAATATTTCTAAAAATACATGCAATACTCTTATAGATAAAATTATAAAACTTACTGAATAAACAGTTTTGAAAAAGTTTAAAGAAAACCTTAATAAAGAGAGATACAGCCTGCTCTTGGATAGACTTGCTATGAAGAAGATATTTATTCCTCCTATAGGGAGGAAATGGGCAAAAGATTGAAAAGATACGTCATACCAAAGGAAATAGAAGATGGAACATCTGGAACATTTGGAAGCATGCTCTAACTGAAAATCTCAGGAATGCAAAATTAAGTTCTTAGGAGATATTATTTCATACTTACCAAATTGGTGGAAATTTGAAAATTAGATAATATTTTGTGGAGTATTATGAAGAAACAAAGTTTGTCAACTGCTTTTTTTTTTTTCTCTTGAGACGGATTTTTGCTCTTGTCACCCGGGCTGAACTGGAGTGGTGTGATCTTGGCTCACTGCAACCTACGCCTCCTGGGTTCAAGCAATTCTCCTGCCTCAGCCTCCTGAGTTGCTGGGATTACAGGCATGTGCCACCACGCCCGGCTAATTTTATATATATTTTTAGGACAGACGGGGGTTTCTCCATATAGGTCAGGCTGGTCTTGAACTCCTGACCTCAGGTGATCCACCCATCTTGGCCTCCTAAAGTGCTGGGATTACAGGCGTGAGCCACCACGCCCGGCCTATTAACTGCTTTTAGGAGTGTAAACTGGTCCAACTTCCTTAGAAACTATTGTCATCACCTATTTTACAATTCAGTAAGTTTACTCCTAGATATTTACCTAGAGAAACATTTACATGTATCTATATAAAAACATTCATAGGAGTATCATTACTGATGTTAAAAAAACAAACAAACAAAAATGAAACACTGGAAGCAACTCAAATGTCTACCAATAGGGGAAAGGATAAGTACATTGTATTATATTCACACATTAGAGTACAATACCACAGGAAAAATGAATAAAATCCAGCTATAGCTCTAACATGGAGGAAACTTGAAAATCTAAGTTTGAAAGAAGGAAGCACAAGTATCCAATTTGTTTCCATTTGCAAAAAATTCAGGCAACATGCAGTAATATGCTGCTTGGGGAATACCTATGTAGGTGGGTCTAGTGAGAAAGAAAAGAAAGGGAATAAGATAAATTTCTGAATGGTCAAAACAACACCAGCATCAACTCGAAAAGTCTGTTGCAGTATGAACGAAATCACAGAGAATTTGCCACAAATTAAGTTTACCTGGTATCTCCAGTACCTAGAAATATTTGCCTTTTTCAATTATTATAAACCAATCTATACATGATCAAGATAAGTGGATTTTATTAGTTAAAACATTAAGTTATCAAAGTGAACTTTGGATCTTATGCTAGTCGTGACAGTATTTGAGAATTCAGTTATGTTTCACAAGTTTTATTATAAATGATTTTGTGTTTTGAATTGTTGTAAGGCATATAAAATTGTTGTTAAATTACTGTGAAATTTTAAAAAGAAAAAATATTTCGGAGTTGTCATTTCCTCTGGATAGATGAAGAGGAATGCGAGTGTGTAGAGAAACAGAAGGGATCTCAGAGGTGTGGTGCTGTCATACCTTCTTTCGTGCCCTGAAGATGGGAACATGGGTACTCTCTGATCATTCTTTAAATTGTGCATTAATAGTTATACATTCTTCCTGTAATCCCAGCACTATGGGAGGCTGAGGTGGACGTATCACTTGAGGCCAGGAGTTTGAGACCAGCCTAGCCAATGTGGTGAAACTCCAAAACTACAAAAATTAGCTGGGAGTGGTGGTGGGCGCCTATAATCCTAGCTTCTCCAGAGGCTGAGGTGTGAGAATCGCTTGAACTGGGAAGGTGGAGGTTGCAGTGAGCCAAGATCATGCCACTGCACTCCAGCCTGGGCCACAGAGTGAGACCCTGTCTCCAAAAACAAATAAGTAAATAAATAAATAAATAAAAATACATTATTCTCTTTGTATGATAGTTCATAATAATCATATATGTTATTTTTATATTTTTTTATTTTATTTTTTATTTCACCAAGTAGAATTTTTAACTGCTTTCTGGAGTTGCTGTGGGAAGATGAAAGTGTGTAGGCAAAAGTGGCCGGGTGATAGGGTGGGGTCCAGAGCCCAATGCTAGCGGAGCCAAAAGTGCATTGCAAGGTCAGCAGCCGTGGACTGGGATCCTCAGCAAACGCAGGTGTGTTCTTGGGACTAGCTCTAGGCTGAATAGCTCACATCTAATTCTCTAGCACTATGAGACAGTTAGTCTTGTAACGGCGCCCTCTACTGCTTACATATGCAAGAGACTCTTCCTGTTGCTTGCTACCTAAAATCCTGACAGGTGTATTGCTTTTGTAGCGTCTATGGGAACAGGTGAAGATATCCAACAAGGACACTCGAAATATAAGTTTGAAATTTAGGAATGATGTCTGACATGCGATACTGATGTTACCAATATACAGTCATTTGTGAACACAGCTAAGTTCACCAGTGAGGGTGTGAAACTCAAAGAGTATGAACCTCAAAGCTTACCTGCTACAACATCCAAGGGGGATCCAACTCCTCACTTTCCAATACCTGTGCTTAGACGGTATTGGGACAATCTTGGTATCCACAGGTCCCACTCCTCTACAAGCCAGTATTACTCTGCTACAAGCACTTTAGAACTTGAACTGTCAGTAACACCTAGGTTATACATGTAACTACTCACTAATTGTTTGTTTTTGTTTTGTTTTGTTTTTTCACTTTTAAAGACTTTCTTTTTTAGAGTGATTTTGTGTTCACAGCCAAATTAGGAGGAAGATAAAGATATATTCACCATATGCTACTTGCCCCCACACAGGCGTAGCCTCCTCCATTAACCACCTCCCCCACCAAAGTTTGTTACAGTTGATGCACCTACAATGACACATCGTTATCATCCTAAGTCCATAGAGTCCCTTAGGGTTCACTTTTGGTGTTGTACATTCTATGAGTTTGGAAAAATATATAATGATAGTGCCACACAGAGTATTTTCACTGCCCTAAAAATCTTCTGTGTTCCAGTTACTCATCCCTCCCCCAACTCTGGCTCCACCCACTACCTTCACCACCCCCCTCCCCCGCATCTAACCTTTGGCAATTGTTAAACTTTTTTTATTGCATTATCTCCACACAGCCAAAGAGATTACTTTATGATAATATTAATGAGAATTTCCCCAAGAGTAACCCCATATTCTTAGAAAATACCTGACCATCATGGTGCATAATTAACCTACATTCTGGTCGCAGAAGCATGACTAAGAAGTTTAAAAAACAGATAGGTGGGGCAGTAATTATGCAGCTGATAACACAAAGCTCTACCGTCTGTACATAAATCTTTCACAGGAGGAAAAATATTTGAAATGGAAGAATTAAAAAGCAAAAACATTTGGCTATAAAAAGGGATTCAGTAATTACAATGAACATCTCATTAAACATAGTCTTTATTTGCAAGAAGGCTGGGAGAGCTCTAATTAACTCATAAGCTGTCCCTATGAATCATTAGCTGTGGCAGGAAAATTCTAGGTGATCCATTAAATCTCCACACCCACAGCTGTTCAGAGAAAAATATAAGCAAACCCTAATTGCCCTGATTTTGGATGGCTGGTGAATTTTCTTCAGTGATCAACTGGATGACCTTGGCCACCACACATCATATATCTCTTCTCCCCTGGGGAAAGTGAAGTCCTCTTTTTCTACAACCAAGAATAGGATTTTCTCAACACTCAACAAATAGTTTATCCATCTTTGAACAGACTTTTAAACCAACATGATATAAACAATTTACAAAAGTTTATGGTAGACTTTAGATGCAAATCCTTGAGTTGACCCAGAAATATTCTGCTGTTTTATTATGTGAGTTTCCGAAGTCTGTGTCTGAATATGATTTTTCACCAGGCTATCTTTGTGTTTTTGCGTTTGCTGTGTATGAGAAGACACGATCTAATTATTAGGGGTCAGGCACTGTGGACCTGTGCAGAAAATCACAAAAGTCCAAATCTGCACCACCCAATATGGTAACTACAAGTCTCTTGTGGATTTTGAGCACTTGCTCTGAAGCTCTGAACTGAGATGTACTGCAAGATTTCAAAGAGCTAGTACAAAAAAGTAAAATATCTCATGAAAAATTGTATAGTATTTTTGACTGCTAGAAATATTTAGCCGCGGCTGGGCGCAGTGGATCACGCCTGTAATCCCAGCACTCTGGGAGGCCGAGGAGGGCGGATCACGAGGTCAGGAGATCGAGACCATCCTGGATAACACAGTGAAACCCCGTCTCTACTAAAAAATACAAAAAATTAGCCAGGCGTGGTGGCAGGCGCCTGTAGTCCCAGCTACTTGGGAGGCTGAGGCTGGAGGATGGCGTGAACCTGGGAGGCGGAGCTTGCAGTGAGCTGAGATCACGCCACTGCACTCTAGCCTAGGTGACAGAGTAAGACTCCGTCTCAAAAAAAAAAAAAAAAAAAAAAAAGAAAAGAAATATTTAGCTGCTAGAAATTTTTTAATTTCATATGTGCCTTGCATTTGTAGTATACATAATATTTATATTGAATGGCCGGACAAGTGGCCACTGTGAGCCCAAAGCACACATGGAATATTTTTGAAAAGAAGACAGGAGTTCTAGAGCTATAGACTTTCCCAGCTGGAAGAGACTTCCAAAAGTAAAAGGTGTAAAAGTGCTTTTATTTGCCCAACATGGCCCTCACTTTCCACCACACACACGTTAACACACATAAATGTCCACGCATGCAACGATGTGACCAGCATAAGTGAAGAGTTGCTATACGTTAAGAGTTTGGCATCACTGCAGAATCTCCTACCTAATACAGTTGTGTCTCTGTATCCCCGGGTTTCACATCAGCAGATTCAACCACGGCAAAATGAAAATATTAGAAAAAAATGAAAAATACAATAAAAAATACAAATTTAAAAATCAATAGAGGATAACAACTGTTTACATACATAGCATAGCATTTACCTTTTATTAGGTATTATAAGTAATCTAAAGATGATTTAAAGTATCCAGGAGGATGTGCATAGATTATATGCAAATACTATGCCATTTTATATTAGGGACTTGAGCATCTGCAGATTGTGGTATCTGCAGGGGTTCTGGAACAAATCCTCCGTGGATACCAAGGGACTATATTTCTAAATGTTGCGGATTTAAAGGAAGAATATAACTGAAAGAAGAAACTGAGAGAACAAGCAGGAGAGATCATTGACAGAATGAATGGAAAAGTGGAGGGCATTCCAGAAAAGGAAAATAAAATTAGCAGTAGCTGAGAGGAAAATAATAAGCATGGACTTTAGGAGAATAGTGACAGTTGGGCTATTAGTAACAATAATTAATATCTGAAAATAGCCTTTAATTTACATAGATTTCATCACAGGCATTATTTTATTTCATCATCGTAGATGCCTATTTTTATCATTCCCATTTTACAGATAAAGAATGAGGCCCAAATTTAAGGAGCTTGCCCAAGATCACACAGTCGGTAGTGCCAGAATTTAGGGGATCAACCATCCTGTCTGCGCTGGGCTGGGGTTTCCAGCACTCAGGACTTCCAGTGCTAGAAATGGGAACATCCTGGGCAAAGCAGGGAACTTGTTCACTCTACACTTGAACCCATATCTTCTGACTCTAAATCCCGTTCTCTTTGTAATGATAATAATGACAAACATCTATTGAATACTTTCTATGTACCAGGAACTTTGTAGTAAGAACTTCACATAATTATCTTTTTAATCTATGAAGCAACTTTATAAATTGAGTATTGATTTTTCACTTCCTCCTACCACCCTACATAGTCCAGATATAAAAATTTAAGTTTCCCAGATCATTGATAACTTACCCAATGTCACACAGCTGGTAATGTCTGGATTTGAACTCAGGCCATTCCAGTCCAGGGCCTGTGCTGCTAACCACCATGAAAGATGCCCAGCCTGGTGCTGCCACCTCACCTGCTTGCTAAGGCCCAGGGTTCCTGCTGGACCTTTCGACCCACTCATTTATTTTTTCATCCTGTTAGTATGAAAACATAGCTTGACTGGAATCCAGCGCCCACTACTGCAGCCATTCTTTACTGCGTAAGACCTAAAATATAAGTTTTATATTTATATTATATTTATCAATGCCTCCTGGCTTTGATCTTGCCAGTCTTCCATTTGAAATGACCTCTCATATTAACATCCTACCAATGACTGTCCCACCTTTTAGTAGGTACCTTGATTCAAAAAGAGTTCTTAAAAAGTAAAAGAAAAAGGAATTTCCTTTTCATTTAACATGTACTGGCAACAATTGCCAGATAATTTGTCTTTAAAATTAAAACAATTATGCTTTCTTTAATAAAACCCTAGTTTTTTGTTATCACCTTTGATGTAATTTTTAAAAAGCTGTTCTTTGAAAGAATATGCATTATTGATATATAGCAGAACTTTACACCATTTGAAGCACCAGAACAGATACAAAATGTTACTTCATGTTATCATTCCCAGTATGAGAATGATGAGCTTGCCATTTTCCCAAGACTGTAAATTCTTCAGTAAAAACAACTATGCCACTTTTTTTTTTTCTGTAACCCACACATCACTGACATAGTGATTGACATACATTTTCCAGAAATGAATTGATTGGAGTATAGTGTTGAGTGAGTCTAAGATCTCACTGGTCTCACTGGCACAGGCTTGAAGCCAGAGGATTTTATTTGAGTTTCTTATTGTCTGTGGCTTTAAGCCTTGTCACTGCTTCCTCCTCATGCCTCAACCTTCCATAGTCGTGTATTCTAAACAGTGTTGATATGTAGTTGCCACTTCAGAAAGAAAAACTGATGTTGGATATTTAAATTATTTACCTTTTCATTGACATATAATTTACATGCATTAACATTTATCCTTTTAAATTCCTTGAGTTTTGACAAGCATATACAACTGCATATAGAACACAAGCAGAATCTAGAACATTTCCATCACTTTAGAAAGTTCCCTGCCCTCATCTTTTGTCAACCCCTCCCCCACCCCACTTCCCAGCACCGATGTGAACTGCTTTCTGTCCCTTTAGATCTGCCTTCCCAAGTCGTGGAATCATACAACAGATAGCTTTTTGGACTGGCTTATTTCCCTTTTTATAATGCTTTTGAGACTCATTCCTGGCCTCATGTGGTGGCTCACGCCTGTAATCCCAGCACTTTGGGAGGCTGAGGTGGGCGGATCACGAGGTCAGGATTTCAAGACCAGCCTGACCAACATAGTGAAACCTCGTTTCCAATAAAAATACAAAAATTAGCCAGGTGTGCTGGCAGGCGCCTGTAATCCCAGCTACTCCAGAGGCTGAGGCAGGAGAATCACTTGAACCCAGGATGTGGAGGTTGTAGTGAGCCAAGATTGCACCACTGCACTCCAGCCTGGGCTACGGAGCAAGAGTCCATCTCAAAAAAAGAAAAAAAGATTCATTCCTATTGTTGCATTCATCAGTATTCTTTTTTGTTGTGATGATTATTCTAATGTGTGTATATCAAAATTTAATTGCCTATTCCCCAGTTGACATTTGGAGTTTTGTCTATCACATATAAAGTGGCCAAAACAGCATGTAGGTCTTCGTGTGGATGTATGTTTTCATTTCTCTTGAATAAATTCTTGGGAGTGGAATTGCTGGGTCACAGGGTAAGTGTATGTTTACATTTATATAAAACTGCCAAATTGTTTTCTAAAGTCCTTATAAGACTTTGCATTGTCGCCAGCAACGTATGAGACTTCCAGATAATCCACATCTTTGCCAGTATTTGATATTGTCAATCTTTTTAATTTGAGCTGTTCCTGTAGGTACGTCTAATAGGTGCATCTCATTGTGGGTTTAATTTGCATTTTCTTGCAAATACTATTAACAGACCTTTTGGGGGGTATAATTTGTATACAGTACAATGTTCTCATGTGTCAGAGTTGGTTTAGTTTTGGCAAGTGCACACCCCTTAGGTAACACACACCACGTCCAGGTATAGACCAGTGCCAGGCCCCCGGAAATCACCCTATGCTCTGTCCAATTTCCTCCATCACAAACAACCGCTGTCACGATTTTTTCCACCATAGATTAGTTTCACCTGTTGAAGAACTTCATCCATGTAGAATTATACCGAATGTGCGTCTGTCTGTGGGCTGGCTTCTTTACTCAGCCTGATGTCATTCGAAGGTCATCTGAGCTGCAGCCTGGGACTGTTGTGCATTACCTTTCATTGCTAAGTAGCTTCCCTTAGTATGGATGAACCACAATTTGTTTAGCCATTCTCCTGTTGATAGGCACTTAGTTGTTCTCAGTTGTTGTCTACTATGAATAAAGCTACTATAAACATTTTTGTACAAGGATTTTTGTGAAGGCATGTTTTATTTCTCTTTAAGTAGCGAGGGGCAAAACTGCTCAATCTTAAAGTAGGTAAATGTTTATCTTTATAAGAAGCCACCAAGCTGTTTTTCCCGGTGACTTTCCCATTTTGCATTTCCACCCACAATGCATAAGAGTTTCAGTTGCTCCACATGCTTGCCACAATTTGTTCTTTTTTTTTTTTTAAGTTTAGCCATTCTAATGGGTATGTGGTGGTTTTAATTTATATTTTTCTGATGACAAATCATGTGTTTATTGCCCATTTGTATTTATTCCTTTATGAACTGTGTCTACTCAAGTCTTTTGCCTTTTTTTTTTTTTTTTTTGAGACGGAGTTTTGCTCTGTTTCCCAGGCCGCAGTGCGACGGTGCAATCTCGGCTCACTGCACCCTCCGCCTCCCTGCACCCTCCGCCTCCCTGCAACCCTCCACCTCCCGGGTTCAAGTGATTCTCCTGCCTCAGCCTCCCTAGTAGCTGGGATTACAGGCGTGTGCCACCATGCCCAGCTAATTTGTGTGTGTGTGTGTGTATGTTTTGAGACGGAGTCTCGGTCTGTCACCCAGGCTGGAGTGCAGTGGCCGGACCTCACCTCACTGCAAGCTCCGCCTCCCGGGTTCACGCCATTCTCCTGCCTCAGCCTCCCGAGTAGCTGGGACTACAGGCACCCGCCACCACGCCGGGCTAGTTTGTTTGTATTTTTTAGTAGAGACGGGGTTTCACCGTGTTAGCCAGGATGGTCTCGATCTCCTGACCTCGTGATCCGCCCGTCTCGGCCTCCCAAAGTGATGGGATTACAGGCGTGAGCCACCGCACCCAGCCTGTTCTGCCCTTTTTTATCCGGTTATCTGTTTATTACTAACTGTAGTTAATTGATTGACTTGTAGTTTTAAAAAATATATTCTACATACAATTTCATTATCAGATATATATTGAGAGTGTTTTCTTCCTATGTATGGCTTGAGAGAAGTATAATATATTTCATGGTTTATAATATATTTTAATATAATTTATACATATTTAGTGTAATTCATATCTTATAAAGTATCTGATGAGCAGATGTTTTAATTTGGCAGCTTAATTTATCAAAAAATATTTATAGTTTATCCTTTCTGTGTTCTATATAAGAAATCTTTGCTTAACCCAAGGTTGCAGAGATAATCTATGTTTCCTTGTGTGTAATTTTCGCTTACATTTAGGTCTACAGTACATAATATTTTGTGTGTGTGTATGGTAAGGTGATACTACATTATTATGATAATTGCAGCTTTATAGCAGGTCGTAAGATCAAACAGTTTCCAACATTAGGCTTCTTTTCAAGATTGTTTTGGCTATTGTAAGTCCTTTGCATTTCCATGTGCATCCTAAAATTAATTTGTAGATTTTTACAAAAAGTCTGCAGGGATTTTTTCCGACCTTTTCTTACTCTTTGTTTGCATACTTTTTTTTTTTTTCAAATTTTCCATGTCACTTATTTTTTTCTTCTGTAGTGTCAAGTATGCTCGTAAGCCCTACCAGTGAATTTTTAATGCAGGATATTATATTTTTTAATTCTAAAAGTTTCATGTGGTTGTCTTTTACAGTTTCCAGTTTTCTACTAAGATTTGTTATCTGTTTACCCATTATATTTATTTTGAATCCTTAAATGTGCTGTTAATAGCTATTTTAAAGGCGTCATCTGCTAATTTCAACATTGTCATTTCAAGTCTGCCTCTATCGATTTGTTGTTTTTGTTGTTGTTGTTAGTTAAATTTTTCACTTCCTTTGCACATATAGTAAAGTTTTTTTATATGCTGGATGCCATGAATCCTAACTGGAGAATCTGGATTCTGTTGTCTTCCTTTAATAATTGTTGAATTTTGCTCCGGTAGGAAGTTAATTTACTTATGAATCTGAATCAGTTGCTCCTTTTAAGGCCTGTGAATAAGCTTTGCCAGGACATAGTCTATAGGACTAAAGTGGCCTCCCTCCTAAAGCGTAGTGATTGGAGATCTCAGCTGCATGCCCAAGGTGTCAGTGAGCCCTCCCTACTTTGGTTAGCCAGAACTCTTGTGACTCCTAGCTCTTTGTGGCCCTGGCATCTTGATTTCACTCACAGCTCCCCAACAGATCTACACCGTTTTACCTTGTAGTTTTTCCCTGGACATGAACGAGGAGGTTAATATTTGACCAAGTCTCAAAAGAACCTTCATGCAGATTTCTGGCATTTCTTCTCTATGCAGTTTCTACTTCTCTTCTCTCTGGGTGTCTGGTCCAAAATTCTAGCCTCAAATTCAAAGTGTGTTCCTCCTCAGGTCAGCAAGATCCCTGGGTTCTTCTTTGGCTCCACCTCCCTGGGCCTAGACAGAGAGCTGGGGCAACTGGGGGGCTCTTATCATGTTATTCCTTTCTCCTAGGAACCACAATTCTATTCTGAATGTCTTCCAACATCTGAAACAGTTGCTTCAAATATTTTGTTCAGTTTTGTAATAGTTTATGACTGGATGAGTTCCTCATTACTGATTATTTTGTCGTGGCTGAGAATGGAAGCTACCCATGTCATTATTTATGAATCTAAAAAAGACATAAGTATACTAGGCCTCAGACAGTTTCTTTATCTTTCACATTCGGTATCATCTCTGAAACCAGAATTCCAGTTTTGTTTCTGTACCACTACTAGAATATGTGCAGCTATGAAACAGAGTGAAAGTATTGGCAGTGAAACCCCTGTAGGATGCATCCTAAATTTAAAAATATTTGGAATTTCAATTGTATTTAAAGCAAGTTTACTTTTTTATTATAAACAGATAGCTCCTGTGGATGACTTATGCCACAAAGGTGTTTAAGGTGGAAATACAATATCTTATGGCATTTTAAGGCATTCCATTTATGCGTGGACAGGGATTAATTTCAGATTTCTATCATGTTTGAAATATAGTATCTAACATTTTATAATGAACAAAGTGTTTTCTGATCAGATTATCACTGTAAGTTGACTAGTAGGTTTTCACATGGGAATTGTTTTGTGTTGTGTTTATTTCCTCTGCAGTATTGTGGGAAATGTTTAAAGCTAACTGCCTTATGTATTCATTTTAAAAACTCCCCAAATTATTATTCCTAATAAGGGGAAATAGAAGGTATCAAAATATTATTATATCATTTTTTCAGATCAACTGAGTATGGGAGTTATTCTCCTGGGTAAATGTGTGTTCAGCTTGTGGAAAGAATTGTAAATGTCTTCTCAAAATAAAAGAACTCCTCTGGCTATAATAGGCAGGGAGAACAATCCAAGCCAATCTTTCCACTTTTGCTACCGAATGCCTCCTTTTTTGAAAGTCTTCAGTTTCCATGGAAAAATAAGGGCAGCAGATAATGAACCCTTTGTTCATTTTGACCTAACAAAAGGCCTTTTAGGAGGCTCACCTAAGGAACCAGTCTTCCAGATGTTACCACTGTAACTCTGTGGCTTATTATGACTTCTTGAAGAACTTTGCTAAGAAAAAAGAAATATTTAAGATACTGCCACCCAATAAAACGTTATGAAAAATTTCTACACTTAAGTAATCACGTCCTCACTGTGAATTGCTCTATTAGTCCCTACAACCACATATAGATTTTCTCTCAACATGACAGTAGCACATCCCTACTGTGACTATATAAGCCTCATTAGATTACTTGTGTTATATTTATTACATAGGCGGTCTTTAGGCAAAGCATACTATATTTTTTTATTCCTAGTATTTCAATATGCACTGTATGGGCAGAAGCAGCTCATAATAGAAGACAGTTTAAAGTCTGACCCTGCCATTTACTAACCAAATGACTTTGAGCAAATTATTTAACCTTTCTATGATTGACTTTATATGTTAAAGGGTTGCTAGGATAGTATCTGATCCATGAAGGAGTTGCGAAAATTAGAGTAGTTAATACAGGACAGAACAGTGTCCATCACATTGCAAGCACTGAAGAAACTCTGCCTAGTCTGCTGTTGTTATTATTATCATTACTACCACTACTATTTAGAGAACTCTTTAAAATTAGCTCATTTAGCCTTCACAAGAAATATTTAAAGTAAATATTGCTATCCTTATTTTATAAATAAGAAAACCAAACTTCAACCTAGGTCTCCTAACCCTAAAAGGTTATATTCTTGTCTTAATTATCCTAGATAATGTTGAAACATTCAGATTTTTTAAAAAGTGATCATGAGCCTTCACTAATTTTAGCTTAGTCATTTTCTTTAATAATTTTATAAGAATATTTGTAGTGTCATCCAAAAATTTCATTGGCAAAAGAGAATTCAAGATCATAATGCATTTCTATAAGTAGAAAATGTGCCTATATCTGCTTCATATCTTTTCCAATTAGAATACAGAACACATACATTATAGAATGAGAAAAAGTTTAAATATTTAACACCTCAACTGGCATATAGCATGTCAAGTCCTCTCCATGCTGCTTTTTCCATCTAAATACATGTATCCTAAATTTTGGATCTCTTAATCTTTTGAGAATTTATTTCTTTGATGCTAGTTTTCAACACCTAGATATACATGACCCTCCCCATCAATGTGGACAATTTGCTTTTCAAACCATTTATAGCTCTACCTCCTAAAAGACCAGTCTCTCTAGGACTATTTTTGTATTACCCATATGATACTGAATGTTTTTCTATTCCTAGAACAAAGTCTCCATGAGTCTAACGATGTTTCAGAAAAAGAGTCACCTAAATGCCAGTAATTACATCAAGTTATCAACCCATAGAAAAATAACCACAGCATATGAAGTTCTCTTGGAATCCTTTTAAGAATCAACTTAGCCTGAGTCTGTGATTTAGGTTCCTTTCCACTTCTTTTAAGAGCGAAGCACAACCTAAGTAGAGGAAAAGTCTTTGAAGTGCAAGCTGGTTGACCATTTCCTGCGCAGAGTATCCAATCCCATTGAAAATGTCTTGGAATTGTCCCTAGCTTCATCAGTAAGTGCTGGGGGATGACATCACTGTGGGATTTCAACCGAACTTTATGTTCTGATAAACAATGCAGTGTTGGTAGTGGCCACTGGTGAATTCTTTTTATCTTGGCAGGTGCCAGCAAAGTTCCTTATTCATTTTCAAGCTTTGTTGAAAGAATAACAGAGGGTAAGACATAAAGAGCTTGGGAGTGGTCAGGCCCAGAGGAGGATCGCCTATTAAAGTCAGTGAGTGTAGACGCCAATATTTTGGTTTAGTCCCACACTTCTTTGAGTATAAAATAAGGAAATAACTGTTGTTTCTTGGATAACAGGCTATTTCCAACTTACCATCACTTGTCTCCTGTGTCAGTCTTCATCCTAACCATGTGACAGAACGCAGATGACAAGGGTTATCTTGAATTTAATCCTTTTCTTACATGAATGGATGTATTCAGGAGGCTGTAGAGTGCAAAAGTGGTGGTAAAAGCCCTTCCAGTGGCAACAATAATGATGAAAGACCCCAACAGGCAGTTTTGTAAGCTTTACCCTGAACAAAAGCCAAGAGAACACTGCTTGTAACCAAACAAGGAATAAAAATAATACTAGAGTTTCTACAAAAATCAGTGCATGGAAATTCCCTGCTTATTAAGCTGTTTCCATTATGAGATGTTCCCCTATATTAAAATTTTCATAGCGTAATACATCCATCATCTGGACATTCTGAAGATACTTATTTTTTTCAAGAAAAACTACCTAAATAATTCTTTATAAAAACAGGTTTCCATTTTCTTTAAGAAACAAGGCTGATTCACCAATGAAAATAAAGAAATAGAATAGATCTCCTAATTTTTATTCTAATACCTTCACAGAAAATTAAGCCAGGTACCAAAAAATCACAGCTATTGGGTAGGTTGTGAGTGTTTCAAATTTGGAGGAGTATTATCAGATCCTAAATTAATACAACCAGAGTTTCTTTCTAACCTGTTCTCCACATCCCTTTGTACTATTAAAAAAATACCGCTTATGCTTTCATCCCAGCCTCTAATTTCGAGAATCACCACAACTCCTATCCTTTCCAAAGGCATTCCCAAAACAATGGAAAATAAAACTTACCGGAGCAGACTGAGAACAAGCTGTTTAGAGCTCTCTCCCTCCTCCAATTCAGTGTACCTGAAATGAGCATTAGTATTAGAACTCAATTCATGAGGGTAATTTTTACTGTAGTTGTATAAAATAAATCTTGGGGATTTACCTTAGAGATTGCATAAGGTCAGTCTTGCATCCAAGTTGTTACTGACTAATATTGTTTATTCTAACTCCTGTTTCCTTTTGTCCTCCTGTAAACTGCCACCTCAAGATCTCTCAAGCCTTTATTTCCTCACATACAACTCTGGGTAAGGTAAGAGAAAACACAAGCCCGGAGTGGCATTTTATATGAGTCAGTAAGACACACCCATGTCCCAAATGGCATGGGAATCAGGGAATCATTCTGAGTTCTAGGTTCAGTAGTGAAACTCTGTAGTTTTCTTGGCCCTTACAAAAGCAGGTCACAGCTGCCTGGCTTCCTAATTTGGTTTGATGTACTGTGAATTCCCAAGGGGGTGAGTCACTGTCTTATTCATATGGAAGTACAGGAACCATTCCAAAACAAAAACCAGTCTGAGTTTATTTATGATTTTATATGCTCTTTATCGCCCCACTATACAGATGATCCAGAGTTGACTTTCAGTTGTTACTTACCATATTGGATAGGAGATACATGGCATTTTTCATCTTTTGAATTATATGACTTCTTTAACGTGAATATTCCCTGAGATAATATTCCCAGGCACTTGCTTTCTGAATGCTTCACCGAAGATGGAAATCTATTATAAAACAATGAATGCAAAATCAATCACACCTGGAGAAAATGAAAGTAGTAAAATTAACAACAGAATACCTTAAGAAACAGTCTGTGTGAAGTCAGTGTAATTGCATTATTATACATTACTCTTGTTACCTATTAAGTGCACAAGAACACCATAAATGCCTTGCTTTATAGACTTGACGAGGCAGAAAGACGTTCCCTGTGGGTCATCAAATTAAGATGGAGTATGACTTTATGGTTTGTTCCATCTTAGAATTTGGCTGTCTTCTATCTCTCTGTGATTTCCCAGAGCCATCCACTTCAGGCTGTTTGGGCTTCTGCCAGTGGCCATGGCACAGATGCTTTTAATAAAGGGATCCAACCACCTTCTGGAAAACCTCCTTGCTTCACTAGAACTTTCAAGAGATATCAATCCTGTTTTATTAGTGTTTATTTAAAAAAAAAAAAAAAAGAGAAAGAAACTGAAGTAGCCAACACAATCTATGTAGTCTACTTTATGTCCCTTCTTTTGTCACACAAAATAGAATATTTCTCTTGAAAAAGGCTCATGTAATTCCGTTACTATATATTGAGTGCCTAATGTATGCCAAACTCTGCACTAGGCGTGGAAACACCAAGAAGATGTATGACTGCCTTAGAGCTATTACACAGATGCAGTATTGCTTTATAAAAATATCTGATAACTAAAATTAATCTGTAAGGTATATAAAGATCTTTGTATAAATATCGCATTTCATAGAATATTAAAAATACGTAAAATTGACACTAAGTGATTTGTATTATATATGAAATGTTTAGTATAAGATTAGTAAAACTTCATAAACAATGGGAAACTGATGGATCATTCAACAAATGGTATAGGTAAAACTGACTTTTTAGAAAAAAGTAGGTTATATCAATCTCAGATAAAACATAAAAAAAGTAGATTAATAGCTGTTTGTATTAAGAACAATATAAAATAGAAATGTACACATATAGTGGTCTTAGCATACAGAAGCAGTTTCAAGGCGTAAAAGTCATGAGTGAGAGCAAATGTCAAGCTTGACAACATAAAAATGTAGAAATTATATATGGAAATTTTATAAAATTAAAACACAAGTGACAAACTTGATAATATACTTGTAAAATATGACAATGAATTAATATCCTTTATAATCAAAGAAATTTTATGAAACAATTACTCTTACCAACTACACAGTAGAAAAATAACTGAGATGGTTAGCAATACACAGTAAAAGAAATTCAAAGAAATGATGGACACAAACATATATTAAACTTCACTAGTAATCTAAGAAATCTAATGAAAGCAATAATAAATACATTATTGCTTATCAAGTTGACAAATTTTTTAAATGTAAAAACAATTAGTGATAGGAAGGTGCACAGACACTCTCACTCAATTCTGGCCAAAATTTGAATAAATTTTCTAGAAATGTGTTTTACAGAAAGTATTTAGAAAAAAATTAAAGCTATTATTCTTTCATTCAATAATTCTTATTCCAGAAAAATTTCCTAACCTAAAAATACGTAAAAATACATTCATCACAATGCTCCTCATTATCTAAAAAATTAGAAACAATTTAATTATTCTGATGTAGAGAAATCGATATAGTCTATCCAAAGGATATGGTACCACATGGTAGAGCTTTGAAGGTGGCCCCACATTCTGCTCCCTCTAGATTCTCTCTGTTCCAGCTCCATCCTAGCTTCCTCTATTTCCCCGGAATGCCATAACCTGCCCTGTGTATAGGTGAGCAGTCAGAGCCTGAGAAGCAAGGTGACTTGTCCAAAGTCACACCATCTACTTCGTGTATCTGAAACTAAACTCAGGTCTTCTGGTAGCAGGACCAGAAATTGTTCTACCACATAATGCTTGCTTAGAACAGTGAATTTCAAACTCTGAGTAGTGGAATCTCTTTTTTTTTCTGTGGGATGTCACCTCTAAGTATTTTTGTTTTTCTTTTATTTTTTTGAATGGCAGAATCTTATGCACAATTTCTAATAAATGAAAGAGATCAAAGTATTATAGTACTATATAGTTTTTAATGTAAAAGTATACTATTTACTTATAAAGTCAATCAGTGAGAAGCATAGGAAAATACAAGGAAAATTTATTAAGTGTTTGTCATACAGTAGAAGTGGTTAGGTTGAGTGGGTAGGTTGGTTTTTAAAATACCAATAACAAAAAAAGAGGCTGTTCTAAAAACACAAACATTTGAAGGATGGGTGATGGATATAGTTTTATATCAAAGTCAGCACACACTGTATTTCTATATTTGGGTGGTTTTTTTTGTAAAATGGGGAAAATCTTGTTTCATATCAATAAGTAGCTGAAAATGATGAACATTTTTAATAGTTTGTATGTCAATCTGTCTCAAGATATTATTCAATTAAACTGAAACAGAGGCTGAAAGAAAAGAAGTAGAAAATTTAATATTTAAAAAATAAATCATTAAAAATACCCAACAAATATTACATTCCCTAACTGCCAAGGGTTCAACCTGGAAAGAGTCAGTAGCAGGGTCCTCAGGCAGTTTAGATCTTGAGCGAACACTGGGGAATGTTATCTTGTAACATTATAAGATGTTCAACATGTCAGTTAAAATCCCTCAGATTATCCAAAAAGGACATACCTCACTCTCTACCTCAGCTAGATATTCACTTGAACTTTCAGTCAAATTTATTTCACTGCTGACACATTATTTAAAATTTTAAGTGTGACTACAATGTGATCTTACATTGCAAAACTGAGCTTCTTCTGTTTACTACAAAAATCAGCAAGACACGCAAACCAGTGAAATCAATTTTTTGAGAACTATTTCACTAGAGGAAATTCAGCGAAAATGAATTTTTGTCAGCACCTTGCCACAAAACACCCTAGGGACTTCAGCATGGAAAAAAAAAAAATTCCACAATGAATACTGCACATATTGTTTAAATAAGTCTTAAAAGACAACAAAAAAGTGAAAGCCCTGGTTTAATAACATTTACAATTAGAATGATCTTAACGCCTTGCTTGAAAAATCTTCTTAACAGCTTAGGCTCTCCTATGCCACCCAAATAGCTTTTCAAAAATAGTGTTTCTGCAAGGCACTAGCCTGACTATTTTTTCCCCTGACATTCATTTTGCACAAACTGCATAACTTTTTAAAACAATGTTTTGCCCTTTGTTTGTGTGTTGAAAATTGTAGGTGAGAAGCAGTGGATTTTCCTCACCCGTCACTAGGTTCATGGCTGAGGGCGCAATTATAGAAGACAGATTAACAAAAGAAAAGAATATCAATTGATTATATAAGTTTTTCATGACACTGTAGACTTCTTTAGGAAATGAAGCCTGAATAATGAGGCAAATTTCTGTATTTTTTATGAAAGGCTTGAGGAAGGGTGGGCAGTCACAAAGAAATATGACTAGAGGACAAAGGGTGTGGTCTAAATGTGGTCTAATGGTACTGAACTGGGGGAAGCTTAGCAAAACCTGTGTGTTCACATTCTTCTTGGTATCTCAGTATCTTTGACTCCTATACCCTGGGTATAGGGAGAGCACTTTTCTTTTTATTATTATTATTATAATACTTTAAGTTCTAGGGTACATGTGCATAACGTGCAGGTTTGTTACATATGTATACATGTGCCTTGTTGGTGTGCTGCACCCATCAACTCGTCATTTACATCAGGTATAACTCCCAATGCAATCCCCGCCCCCCCATGATAGGCCCCAGTGTGTGATGTTCCCCTTCCCGAGTCCAGGTGATCTCATTGTTCAGTTCCCACCTATGAGTGAGAACATGAGGTGTTTGGTTTTCTGTTCTTGCGATAGTTTGCTGAGAATGATGGTTTCCAGCTGCATCCATGTCCCTACAAAGGACATAAACTCATCCTTTTTTATGGTTGCATAGTATTCCATGGTGTATATGTGCCACATTTTCTTAATCCAGTCTGTCACTGATGGACATTTGGGTTGATTCCAAGTCTTTGTTATTGTGAATAGTGCCACAATAAACATACGTGTGCATGTGTCTTTATAGCAGCATGATTTATAATCCTTTGGGTATATACCCAGTAATGGGATGGCTGGGTCATATGGTACTTCTAGTTCTAGATCCTTGAGGAATCGCCATACTGTTTTCCATAATGGTCGAACTAGTTTACAATCCCACCAACAGTGTAAAAGTGTTCCTATTTCTCCACATCCTCTCCAGCACCTGTTGTTTCCTGACTTTTGAATGATCGCCATTCTAACTGGTGTGAGATGGTATCTCATTGTGGTTTTGATTTGCATTTCTCTGATGGCCAGTGATGATGAGCATTTTTTCATGTGTCTGTTGGCTGTATGAATGTCTTCTTTTGAGAAATGTCTGTTCATATCCTTTGCCCACTTTTTGATGGGGTTGTTTGTTTTTTTCTTGTAAATTTGTTTGAGTTCTTTGTAGGTTCTGGATATTAGCCCTTTGTCTGATGAGTAGATTGCAAAAATTTTCTCCCATTCTGTAGGTTGCCTGTTCACTCTGATGGTAGTTTCCTTTGCTGTGCAGAAGCTCTTTAGTTTAATGAGATCCCATTTGTCAATTCTGGCTTTTGTTTCCGTTGCTTTTGGTGTTTTAGACATGAAGTCCTTGCCCATGCCTATGTCCTGAATGGTATTACCTAGGTTTTCTTCTAGGGTTTTTATGGTTTTAGGTCTAACATTTAAGTCTCTAATCCATCTTGAATTAATTTTTGTATAAGGAGTAAGGAAAGGATCCAGTTTCAGCTTTCTACTTATGACTAGCCAATTTTCCCAGCACGATTTATTAAATAGGGAATCCTTTCCCCATTTCTTGTTTTTCTCAGGTTTGTCAAAGATCAGATGGCTGTAGATGTGTGGTATTATTTCTGAGGAGTCTGTTCTATTCATTGGTCTATATCTCTGTTTTGGTACCAGTACCATGCTGTTTTGGTTACTGTAGCCTTGTAGTATAGTTTGAAGTCAGGTAGCGTGATGCCTCCAGCTTTGTTCTTTTGACTTAGGATTGTCTTGGCAATGCAGGCTCTTTTTTGGTTCCGTATGAACTTTAAAGCAGTTTTTTCCAATTCTGCGAAGAAACTCATTGGTAGCTTGATGGGGATGGCACTGAATCTATAAATTACCTTGGGCAATATGGCCATTTTCACGATATTGATTCTTCCTATCCATGAGCATGGTATGTTTTTCCATTTGTTTGTGTCCTCTTTTATTTCACTGAGCAGTGGTTTGTAGTTCTCCTTGAAGAGGTCCTTTACATCCCTTGTAAGTTGGGTTCCTAGATATTTTATTCTCTTTGAAGCAATTGTGAATGGAAGTTCATTCATGATTTGGCTCTCTGTTTGTCAGGGAGAGCACTTTTCAAAGAGGGTCATATGACCTGCTTCAGGTGAAGATCAGAAAATCCTTCTTAGGTTTTATGACCTCCTTCAGGAGAGAAGAGTAGGGGTAGAGGGTGGTGGTCAGAAAGGCCTTCCTGTTTCTACTGCTTTCTCAAATGTCACGATGCACCACATTTTGCGGGGGCATGTCCTGAACCCCATCCAAACCAACCTAACCACTTCTACTGTGCAGCAAAGGCTTAATAAATTTTCCTTATCTTTTCCTGCATAAACCTACTGAACAAAGAAGAAAAATCAGCAGTAATGATACTCTCAAAACGTTGACTCATAAAGATTCTGCATAATCTTTATGAAGTCTTTGAATTAATGTAGCTGTTTGAATTAATGAAGTAAGTTGAATTAATGTTCTTATTAAATAGATTATTCTTAGGTTATAGCGCCATAAGTCTAATTGTTTCTTCAATAGCAGCCTATTCATCTAAAATACTTGTTAGCATATAGTTTAATGAGTTTTTTCTGGAGAAAATGTGTTTCCTCTTCACAAACAATACATTTTGTCATTGCTTCCATTTTTTTCTTTAACGTGTATGCTAAATTAATCTGATAACCTTATTTTTATGCTCCCTATGCTTTGTTTTAAAATCATTTAACTTTATGTCTGGGTTCTCTATTCTGTCTCATTGGTCAATGTGTCTGTTATTGTACCAGTACCATGTTGATTGGTTACTGTAGCCTTGTAGTATAGTTTGAAGTTCAGGTAGTGTGAGGCCTCCAGCTTTGTTATTTTTTCTTGGGATTACTTGGGTGACTTGGGCTCTTTTTTGTTTCTCTACGACTTTTAGAATAGTTTCTTTTAATTCTATTTAAAAAAAAATGTTGGTAGTTTGATAGAAATAGCATTGAATCTATAAATTCTTTGGGCAGTATGGCCATTTTAAAGATATTGATTCTTCCTGTCTATGGATATGGAATGTTTTTCCATTTGTTTGTCTCTTCTCTGATTTCTTTCAGAAACATTTTATAATTCTCACTGAAGAGATTTTTCACCTTCTTAGTTAGCTATATTCCTAGGAATTTTATTCTTTTGTGGCTATTGTAAATTATAATACCTGAAACTATAAAAACTCTAGAAGAAAACCTGGAAAATACCATTCTGGCATTACACTGACCTCAGCAAAGAATTTATGACTAAGTCCCCAAAAGAAATGACAACAAAAGCAAAAATTAACAAGTGGGACCTAATTAAACCAAAGATTTTTTGCACAGCAAAAGAAACTATCAACAGAATAAACTAACAACCTACAGAATGGGAGAATATCATCCCAAATTATGCACCCAACAAAGGTCTAATATCCAGAATCTGTAAGGAACTTAAACAACAAACAAGAAACCAATAACCCCATTTAAAAAAAATGGGCATCAGTCATGAGCAGACACTTCTCAAAAGAAGACATACTTGCAGCCAGCAAATATATGAAAAAATGCTCATCATCAGTAATCATTAGAGAAATGCAAATCAAAACCACCATGAAATACCATCTCACACCAGTCAGAATGCCCACTGTTATTTAAAAGTTAAAAAGAAAAGGAGATGTTGGCAAGGTTGCAGAGAAAGGGAGCACTTACACACTGCTGGTGGGAATGTAAATTTGTTTAGCTACTGTGGAAAGCAGTGTGACGATTCCTCAAAGAGCTAAAAGCAGAACTACCATTTGACCCAGCAATCTCACTACTGGGTATCTACACAAAGGAAAATAAATCTTTCTACTAAAAAGGCACATACACTCATATGTTCATTGCAACACTATTCACAACAGCAAAGACACAGAATTAACCTAGATGTCCATCAATGGCAAACTGAATAAAGAAAATGTGATTTTATATATATATATATATATATACACACACACACACACACACATATATATACACACACACATATATACACACACACACACATAAAAAATGCACACACACACACACACACATATACACCATGGAATACTACTTAGCCATAAAAAGGGACAAAATCATGTCCTTTACAGTAACATGGACAAAGCTAAAGGCCATTATCCTAAATGAACTAACACAGGAACAGAAAACCAAATACCACATGTTCTTACTTATAAGTGGGAGCTAAACAATGAATACACATGGACACAAAGATAGGAACAATAATAAACACTGGGGACTGCTTGAAGTGGGAGGGTGGGAGAGGGAGTGTGGGTTGAAAAACTATCAGATACTATGTTCACTACCTCGGTAACAGGATCATTGGTACACCAAACCTCAGCATCATGCATTTACCCATGTAACAAACCTGCACATGTACCCTCTGAACCTAAAATAAATAACAGAAAGTGTAGACCTACTGTGCAAAATTTTCACAGCCTAAAATATAATAAGAACTGGGTTATTTTTATACCTAATAACACTCAATGCAATTACCAAGTGCTATCTGGAAGGTTCTTCTGCATGCTACTTTTGTTTTGCACAATGTTGGTGTGGTAAACAACAGTGAAAGAATCCAGTATATCAAGTCATTGTTTTTGTTCAGTACATGATAAAATTTTCTAATTTGAGAGTCTTGTTACACCATATTTTTTTTTACAAAAATTTACATTTTACAAAAATGATTCAAGAATACTTAAAACTTACAATGAGCATACAGGAAGTGCAAAATAAAACAAACAAGCATTTATTATTTCCTGTAAGAGTTTTATCTATAACTATGCTGTCTTAATATGGTACGGAGCACTTGAAATGTAGCTTGTTAGAATTGAGATTTGCTATAAGTGTAAAACATACTGCAGATTTCAAACATTTGGTCCAATAAAGTAAAATATTTCATTGTTAATTTAATGCTAAAATGATAATATCTTAGTTTACATGAAATATATTACTAAATTAACTTCACTGGGGTTGTTTGTTTTAGTTTTTTCCTGTTTTCTTTTCCTTTTTATAATGCGGCTACTAGAAAATTTAAAAATACCTATGTGGCTTGCTTTATATTTCTAATGGACAACACTGAAAAGAAGTTAGAGGCCTTCCCTGATTTGATACTAGAAAATTCCATTCGTGTGATTGATGCCTCAACAGATGGTGCTACGAGGGTTCTTAGAAAAGGCATTTGACAGAACAGTGGAGGTTCATGAAGGCCTCCAGGAGGACCAGGTGATACCAGAGCTGTAACCTGAAGGACGCATAAGGGGAAGCTTCTAAGAGAGGTGCAGGGGCTCAGAG